GTTGGCGCTGCCCTCGTCGGCAATCACCATCTCGCTGATGTCGACGGTGATGTTGAATTGCGAGGCGAATTCAAAGTAGAAGGTGAAGTCTTCGTTTTTCAGGCTGCAGTCGACCACGGCGTATCCGTATTCGTTGGAGTAGTCGGCTCCCACGGCGTCGAAGATGCTCTCGGCGGCGGAGGAGGGGATGTAGGCCAGGGCGGTGCCGCTGTCCAGGACGGCGGAGATGGGGAATTGCTGCGCGGTGTTGTTGACGGATACGGCTTTGCCGCTCTTCTCCAGGTGCACGGCTGTCAGGTTGACGGCGAATTCGGCGTATACTTCTTCGTATCCGTCGCTCTCGGGGATGATGGGGAGGGTTTGCAGGCTGCCGTAGTATTTGGCGGTGTTGACACCGCCGAACAGGATAGTTCCTTCGCCCTTCTCCAAATCGTCCAGCCACAGACTGTAGGCGGGCCAGTTGATGACGCCTTGGTCGACGAGGGCTTCGGGGAAGTTGGTATAGGTGCCGTAGTCGCTTTCCTGGCTGGCTTCGTCGGCGGCGTATCCGATACCGAAAACGCCCTCTGCATGGAGAATATGGTTAGAGAAATAGGGGAGGGGGGTTAAGAGGCAGACTTACCATCGCTGTCGCTGTCGTATGCGACGGCAAAGGTGAAACTCGTCAGGGTGACGTTGGCGAACTGGAGGGTGTCGTTGACGTAGTCGCCGATGGCTTCGCTGTTGTCGACATATTGGATTTCGAACTCGTCATTCACGTATTCATAGGTGGAGGAGTCGCTCGAGTTGTAGGTGCCATAGTCGCAGGGGCAGGCGCTGGAGTTGCCGGCGTTGACCCAGAGGTCGCTGCTGCCGGTGTCCAATGTGACGCTGACCTTTTGTCCGGGGGTTCCGAGGGTGATGTTCATGGTGTAGCCGAGATTGGCCGCCTAGAATTGGTCATTAGCGATCGTCAGGATGTCAAACTTGGGTGCCGCATACAAGGTTGACCAGCTCGGCCGAGGCCGTCGATCGCTTCCGGCGCGGACGGTCGGCGATCTGGCGACGTTCAAAGTTGAGGGCGAGAGCCGCGGGTTCATCGCGCTGGTGGAGAGAGAGAGCATAGGCCGATTGGGTGGCCCAGGCCAGGGAGAGGAGGGTGGTGGACTTCATGGTGGTGGATGTGATGTGAGCTTGTCGCTGGAGAGGATGGGGGCAGGCTGACGGATCAAATATAAATAGTGGCCCCCGGGGGCGCAGGAGGGGCACGAGTTCTCGGACACTCTCAGCCTTGCCTAGTTGCTACTCAGCCATAGACCCTGGGCTGTGAAGAGGCTCTGCCTGGCCACGACGACGAATCTGAAAGGGGGAAGCAGACGAGAGTGGGTCGCTGGCAGGCAACCATCTGGAGGATTTTGACGGCCGGCTCCATCGCCACCCGAGGCTTGCGAGGCCATCCGTGTGAACTCGTGGGTAAACACCGGTTGGTCCGACGGGGTCACCGGAGATGAGGCCCGAGCAGTGACTCACAGATGGCACTCTTATTGAGGTGATTCATCTGCCTCAATAGCGCTCGTCAAAGGTGCAGAAAACTGTGCTGACGCGAAGTTGAGTTGGGAAGCGCATCCACGGTTGCAGGCGGAATAGCCGACTTAAGTGGGCGCGAGTCCAGCGCTAACCCGATTAGCAGCCAATGATGGGGCCGTCGCCAGCTGTCGCCCCGAGCTAGTTATTAAGCGGCGGTGCTCCTGCGCTGACTGGCCGGGTCCAGTTAGCACATGGCGCTTTGAGTTCGTCGGATCCTCAACCTAGTTCACCTGGCCCTGGATGGAAATGAAGTTGGCATCGGAGGCCCTTGGCAGGACCCTAGGTCGGACCCTTCAGGAACTAGCTGGCCACCTCGAGTTCGTATAGGTGGAACTAGACACTAGCGCATCGCCGCTATCAACCGGAAGACCCTGCGCCTCAAAAGGGGTAAGACTTGGCATGCTCGATCGTATGGGCAGACAAGCTGGGTTGGTCTCGAGATAACAGCATCAATATATGGACATAATAGCACTCACTATTGACATGACAGATAACGGAAATTGACCTGTATGCATACACAAGCCTCGGCCGACTCAGCAGTCAGCAGTGATAGCAGGTCCATCCGGTTCCTGCCAGTAGCCAAGTTACGAGAACCCCTATCACTCCTCTGCTGATACTCCTAGTCCACCTCCGCATCCGAAACATAATGATCCCCAAACTCGTATCACTCGTCACACCACCAACCCCGGGGCTTTGACAAAGTCGTATCCATTGCTACAATCCCCAGCTTCCTGACAATCTCAATCGGGAACGGGCTTCCACTTTGGCCGGGTAAGTGTGCCGCCGGGGCTGGTCTCGGGCGTGGGTTCGGGTGCCGGCTCGTCTTCCGATTCGGTTGAGGGGGATGGCGAGAGCGAGAGCGAGGGCTCATGCTCTAGTCGAGGCCATGTCTTAAGCTCAGGCTATCAACATCAGGCTAGCGTGGTAATAGAAAGAGGGGCCTACTTTAACTACTTTAGGTGCCCGCTCCTGCACTCTCAATAGTTCTTTGGGGTCCTCACTTGTCGTAATTAGGGAGGGGTCTCAGGCAGCAGCTTGGAAGTTGGTTTAGATATGAAGTTGGCAGTAATTTGATGCGCTGTTTTGTAGGCTAGCTCGCGCAGTGCAAGATGAGCTCATATGGGCGCATCGTGCCAGTAGTTCGGGGGAGAGGGCGCGTTCGATCTCCTGCGCCAGGCTGTCTGTTAGAGGGGGCCGAGGGATGTCGCCAGGAAGAGCGAAACCTGGTCCAGGAGGGCTGCCAGGGGTGACAAGCTGGATGCCAATAGGGACTTGGAGAGTGAATGTATGGAAATCCGTGCTCTCCATGGTGCTGTGGAACCGACTGGAATTGTGAAATAAAGAGTGTCTGAATGAGATGGCTGCTCCCTGACTTCTTAGATCAAGTTGGTAGAAGTTATGGCTGATGGGAGTCCTGGATATGAATTTGTATCTCGACATGTCACAAGCCAGGCTGGTCGGTTCTTCAGAGTACACATAGCTCTTCTACCTGCTGCACGAAAAAAGAATAAACTTGTACATGTGATGATGCACTTGTCACTTGGTCTGGCCATGTTGTAGCCATCAATGGCCTCTGGCAGCACGATCACGACCGTCGGGGTTGCCTGTCATGTCAATGTAAGCTAACGATACTATGAACCTTGGCTATGGTCTCTCGATACGTTAGACTCGGGGGACACACATGACAAAGGTGGGTATACAGGGCTGTAGTCTTGTCTAGCATTTTGTGCTGAATAAACCCAAAGTAGGTTTGATGGGGAAACACCCCAAATCACAAATACTTGGGTCTTTTTTGTCGGTGGAAGCAGGAATCCAAGCAAACTGAAGGAGGCCAAGCGTCCTCAACGAGAGACCATCATGGGGGCTGATGTTTCATCTCATCCAGGGCAATCACCGCTCACCGTAGACAGAATTGCAGCCTATCTCTACCATTGGATTGCTCTCTCGAGCTCTGATGTCACACAATGGCGGTCCTCCATGCTGGTCTCGTTAGAAATCAGTCTGGCATGATAACGGCACACATGTAGATCCCAGGACTAGGCGCAGGAATCCCAAGCCGGAGGACAAATAAAGATCCTGTGCATTATTGACCTTGCATAAATTGCACATGCAGTGACTCTTGGCATCTGATTTACGCCACTGCAGAGATGCGAAAGAACCGATGGGTGGTTATGCATGCATGTTGAGTAGCAAACAAGCTATGTAATTATGCAGGTTACCACATCTGCTTTTGTGGCTTGTACTGGGTCTGCGAAATGCATGGCTGAGTTTTTCTGTTCCTGTCCCTACCTTAGTTCACCTTTTGGGCTTTGATATGTTGGTATGGACTGTCAGTAAATGTACTGCGCGAATCTATCACTGATCATTGTCTGGGGCATGATCTCGATGTCACTGCAGTTCATATCTGCCAGCCATGATTAAGTGCAGATAACATCAATGACACTAATCTTGAACAATCCTGAGTCTCAAATTACATTGGATATATTTCCCAACCGGATGAAACACTCTAGATGGTTTCCCAAGCCCATCAGCTATCTGCCACTGAATTACCTTGCAACGATCCCTTATGATGCATGGTATGGCTCTGGTTGTACGGATAAATTCTAATTCAATTATTCGTCATGGAACTGTTAAAGTATAAGCCTTTAACATTGCCCAGCCAGCCCCTATTCTCTTAGATGTTGTTTTCTTGCCTTGGTCTAGACCAGACAACTCTGATCCGAATGCGTCCAATTCAACTGCCATGAGCATACCACTTACCACCAATCCAGATCATCTCCTACTGCTTCTGCCCTGATACAGATGCATCCTACCCACCCTTGACTACACTGGTAATGGCAATGATGAATCCGAAAGCTCCTTTCAAATAGAAGAAGCAATATATTATCCAAGTTAACCAAACGAGTCCCTTTCACGCCGGCTTGCTTCCACCGAAATCCCATTCCACTAACATCCAGAAAACCCGTCGGAGATTGTAAGGACTCAGGTTGAACCTTGGCATTCATGTTTCCAGTATCGCCGTAAATGGAGCCATCTAGAATCTCGGCCCTCCAATGAGGTAGAATTTATGTTTTGCGTCTCCATATACCTAGGCCATGCTGGGTACGGAACAATCCGAGAATAGTAACATGTTTCACTGTGATGCTGGAAGGTAGCTCTGACACAGTGGGTGTTTTATTTTTGTTTTATTCCCGGGAGAAATTTACAGGATACGCAGGGTGTGGGATTACTGAGGATAGAAGAAAAATGTACACCATAATGACAGCTCTGACAACCAATTAACAATCATGAAAGACTTGCAACAGACAAAGATAGTAAAACGTTCTAACCCAACCCTTCGTCTATAGCCCAACAAACAAAAAGCACCCACCCAATCAACCCCACGCCCCATCCATCCCTCCCCACCACTCCAAAAAAAAATATGGAAAAAGATCTGACAAGAGTGGGATTCGAACCCACGCCCCTTTCGAGACTAGGAATATTCCGAAGAACATATAAGATCAGATAACCTGACCCTAGCGCCTTAGACCGCTCGGCCATCTTGCCTGTTTGATAAAATGTCTCAAGAACTTTGACTACATAACTGACAAAAGTTAGATTCGCCTCTGAGATATCTTGCCAATGGAGAAATCATTTGCAAATGGGTCGGTGGGTTTGAGGACAGGGTGTGTGGGCTAGAGAATCAATTGTATTTTGGATAAGATATGAAAATAAAAGAGATTTTGTGATTGTGATGGTGTCGTTGGTTGGTTTCGATTATTACTGGTATTTCATCGGTTCTAATATATATTCTATCGATCCTTTTTTTTTTTTTTTTCAAGTCGGTTTAAAGTGACTCGGTCCAGCATTCGATAATTGACAATGTCAATGGTAAGTATTCTGCCGTTTCATGGACTGAAGCTCACCAGTTATCTACGTATATGGCTTTTTTTTTTCTCATCGCGATATGTAGAATCGTCGCACACGAACCGGGCATGGGCCGAAGAATCAAGCGAGTGTTGTGTAGATTGCACCACTGGGACAGGACCAATCTGACTATAGCCTTCTCAACGTCGAATAGCATCGCAATACGAGATAGGTACTCGATTATGGCGTGGCTGATCATTCTGGACGGTATCTCCCTTCTCGTCCAGTTAAAAGGAGTAGACAACACTGTTGCCGGCCTCCAATGATGTCTGCAACTTTCCAGGGACTACATGCATGCACCAATACCATGCGATCAGTTGATCTCATCATACCATATGTCAGGCGAACACATCAGCCCCGAACAGTTCGCCTAAGTTTAGGGATGTCCTCGAATGTCTGCCAAACTCAGTGTGCAAGTCCTCAGCTGGGCCAACTCACGACGTAGAGAAACCGTAGGTCATATGGATCATATTACAGGCCATTTAAAATCCTCGTATATGGGGTGTTCCAGAGAGGTGGTCTGTTCCCATATCAGTAACACATGGCGAGAATGAACATCAGTGTTAGCCCTGCCCGGGCGCACAGCACACGGCACACATCTCCAGTAACACCTTCATGAACTGCACGCGACACAGTAGTAGTCAATCCAGTAGCACCAAGAGATCAAGATTGTATCGCCCTGCACATGTGACTAGCGAGATGTTCGCAACGAGCTCTGGGCGCGATTGCCAAAGACATGGCTGGTGCCTACGAGCGGATCAGGCGAAATGCCTCGAGGTGGTCACCAACTTGAAGCTTTAGGAAACAACTAGAATCTCACGCAGACCGATAGTCGCTGGAGAATAATGAAACCGCACAATTCCCAAGATCCATATGTTGGATGACAGCTATAACTGCCACCCTCGATGAGCACCGTCCCAGGCTGCGCGATCGACGTTGAGATAGGCTATTGAGAACAAGGTAAGTTCTGCCGTGGTAGCAGCCAAAAGACCGTGCTTCCATGTTTCCAGGAATTGCACTGGAGCACTTTGCAACAGATGCGATCGTAGCAAAACCGTACTTGCCATAGCGCCCACACCGAGGTCCCGTCTGCATATGGCGGCTCGCCATGCATGCCGAACCTGGGAAGTGAGACTTTCTGGAATTTCCATTACTCACTTCCTTAGACTAGCCACATGTCCACACGAATCTTGTTCATCGCGCTGCCCAGATCAAAATGTTCCACCACGTCGCATCCAGCACTGCACATTGCCAAAGTGTTGCGCCGGAGGATTGTACCAATCGTATCAGCGATGATTCGGAGGACTTCTGCTCAATTGCGGACCACTGGTCGATTCTGCGCGACATGATAAATTAGCAAGTTTTGGTCTGCGCCCGGGAGTGATCTCGAATGTCTTGAATAGCTGCAATGAGGGATGTGTTGACATTTCTGGCCAACCAGTGGAAAACCGCGAGTTTCTAGATATGAAACGAGATATTTGGAAATGCCATCCTCGAGAGCAGTTATGACAGTTCGCGTCTGCCAGAGGTCCGGAATGCGTTACCCTCACATTCAGGATATTAGGAAAACCACATGGCGCCTGATCGATTGATAAGATGGAGACAGAGGCCGAAATTAGTTGGGTTGCTTTGCTTTTCGTTGCTCCGCAACTCCCGGGAAGTCCAACAGAACCACGCGGTCGCATATCACAAAACGGGTGTCATCTCAGTCGAAGATTCGATCAATTCCCTGGTCGGTGGGCGCCAAGAGAGATGTCTTGGAGTTCCCGCCATCGCTCGGTGTCGCCGTGTCCTGGGAGGTAGCATTGCTAAGGGGATGCACGTGAAAGATACATGCACCTTCCTGTTTGGATTGGCGCCGACGCGTCATCTGCCCTCATTTGCCCTCATCTGCCCTCGTCTATTCCAGGAACAAAGGAACAAAGAAGTGTCAACACCACCATTCCTCTTTGGTATAGAGGTCAACGGTCGCCAATCTATCCCATACGCGATCCCGGGAGCCTGCAAGGCTCGTGCGCGACGAGATGCAGCCAACGGTCAAAGAAGGGTATGGGGATAAATTAATTAATATACAGACGTTGTATCCCAGGTCCCTGTCCGGACTCAGGCCGAAGGACATCCGAGGGAGCACATCAGGATTACCCCTGGACACGATCGATTCTTTGTTGATCCATGAGACTTTCTCCTTGGCAAACCCCGTGTCAGGGATGTCTGGAGGTCCGTGGAGTAATCGCCTCCCCGGTCCTATCAAGGAGTTAGGAGTTAACAGGGCAATAATAGCAATCCCAGGCAATTGATAGGATCCCCTGGGGATCCCGAGGAGACGGTAAAAGAGCCGATCATCTGGCCTCCCCGAAGCCACCGGCCATAGTCCCTTTCGATTCCAGCACTCCAAACAATTGCATTAAACCCAATGCCATTGAGCCGGTTACACTGCATTAGCTTTGCATGCGTTTCCAGCCGCAGCATGCCTCGCCTCGAGTGCATTCGGACCTCCAGACGAGAGCTTAAATCTCTGCGCCCGCGTGTGATGGTGGACTGGTATTGGTAGGCACTGAGTCAGATACCCCATCCGACTGGACTCGACACAGGGATGGGCAATTTGCCAAGTGGGCTTCACCCAGGCTGCAGCAAAACCCGACCGCTCATTTGTTGGCCAGCGCATCTGGCTATCGGGAGTCCTGGCCATGTTCGTGGGACGGAGTGGATGTCACCGCGTGGTGTTCTTTCCCCCCTCCATACTCCATAGGGCTGAAAACACTGTCATTGCGACCAGGCCATCCGTCGAGATAGAAGAGGACGGCGAAAGGATCATCATGCTCTGCCAGCGGCGGGATACGGAAGTCCTCCGTCGTCCGGCCCGGCCAATCCGTAACCATGGATTCAGGGCCGTGTCTGACTGTGTCAATTCCTCCTGGAGATCCGGCTCCACCTGTTAGATTAATCCCTCGAATGGGAAACCGTGCTTCGAACCTTTCGAAGCTTCTTTATCCTCCCGCGCCCTCACCGTGGTCCGTCGCGAGGTCTCACCCTAATGACCCCTTTCGGTTGGCTTGCCAGCCGGACTCCGCATCGTGGGCCGACCATTCCAGATAGTGCAGTTGATAACATTGTCCTAACTCTGATGTCGGAGGGTGTCGATCAACGGTGAGAGAAATTGGAGCCATGTTGCGCCAGTATCGTTGGTGCCTACAATAGTGCCACTGGCACCAAGCCGGAGAATTTCATGCGATGGTTATTGCCACCACAGAAGCACCACCGAAGCACCAGAGAAGCACCGCGACAAGAGTTTTCTCGACGCCAAATACGATGATCGTCCTGACGACACGAGAGAGAGCAGCCCCGGGAAAATCCGACCCAGTTGACTATGAAACCCGGAGCCACCTCCTGACTCGCCAGCCGGCTTCCCACTGGCGCTGGCAGCTCGGGTGGGCCGCTCAGAGCGGGGAGACTCCATGCTTCCACTCCATGCTCCCCCTCCATGCTCCCCCCCGGTAGATAGGTCGTAGGTAACAAGAACTCAAGAACAATGGTGTTCTTTTGAGCACCCTGTGCTGGATGCTGAATCCCGGCGAATCCCGTCTGGCTATCAAGAGCTCGTAGCTTCGAAGATGGCAGTGTTGTTGTGTGATGCCCCATCCCGCATGATGATCAGATTGCCACCACCGAATGCCAGGACGAAGGAAGGCGAACACAAGCTTCGGTGGCGTTTCTAGGGTTCGCTTGCTAGCGATCAAATCCTCCGCTGCTCGCCTTGGAAGCTGGAGCTGCGCCGTCCTCAGGGGACTATTGCACTTATAAAGCTTGGTGTCGACTAGGGTGCCTGGGATTTGCCTCCAACTCCACGGGTGGAGATGCCCCCCCGAGTTGTCGCGGATGATGATAACTCTTTTCGGCCCATGGCCGAACCCGTCCCGGTAATTGCAGTCAATCGAGCCGTCGAGAGCATCCCCTCGATCGACAGTTGACGCGACGTTCCTAATTCGAGCTAGGCGGGTGAGGGCTAGCAAGCCACCGTGCCCCCGTGCCAACCCCAGGGGTCGGGGTCGACGGCGGTTATATAGGTCAATTTCCGTCGGGAAAATGGATGTCTGAAACATTACCCTCGGCCACTCCCCTCCCCATCATGCTGTCCCTGGCGATCCAGTCGTTACTATTCGAGGCCGACCTGCACCCGGCCAGCCAGGCCCTGCAGCGTCGGTCGCCGGCGGAAAGCCAGGGCGAGGCCGTCATGAGCCCTCTGCCCGACCTGCAGACCAAGGGCTTAATCGTGATCAGTGCCCTGGCCACCCTCTCGCTCATCTGCACCTTTTCCCTGCTGGCCTTTTTCACCTACCGCTTCATTTTCTGGAAAAAATACTACAAGCGCTACATCGGCTACAATCAATATGTCGTGCTCATGTTCAACCTCGTTCTGGCCGACTTCATCCAGAGTCTTGGCTTCATCATCAGTCTCCGATGGATCGCGACCAACTCGGTGACCGCATCGGATCCGGCGTGCTTCCTGCAGGGCATCTGGCTGCAGATCGGGGACCCCATGAGTGGATTGTTCGTGCTCGCCATCGCGGCACACACCTTCATCCACGTGAGCTTGGGCCATCAGATTGAACACCGCGTCTTCATCGCCATCGTCATCGGTCTGTGGACATTTGGGGTGGTCACGACCATCATCCCCATCGCCGCGCACGGCCGGTACGTCTGGTACCCGGCTGTGGCCTGGGTAAGTCTGTCGCGCCGGTGCATCCACCGCAGTCGCTAACCCGTTCCCAATAGTGCTGGATGACGCCCAAGTACGAGTCCATGCGACTGTGGACCCACTATTTCTGGATTTTCGCCTCGGAGTTCTTTACCGTCGTCCTGTACGCGATCATGCTTGTTCAGCTGCGGAAGAGGATCTCCGAATCGTCCATCCTGGGAGAGCACAACTCGGAAAGTCTGCGCCGGCTGAAGCGCGTCATCTTCCATATGGGACTGTACCCATTAGTCTACATCTCCTTGACTTTGCCCCTGGCCGCGGGCCGCATGGCGTCCGCCGGCGGGCACTCCCCGAGTGTGTTGTATTTCTGTATTTCGGGTAGTTTGATGACCCTGTGCGGATTCTGCGATTCCCTCATGTACACCCTCAGCCGCCGGAGCGTGGTGCTGGAGCCGGAGGCCCGGATCAACGGCAGCAGCAATAAGCTCTCCAGCCGACGCAACAAATCCTCGGTGGCGCACCAGTATGGCGCCAGTGTTGACGGCGCCGGGCCCACCAACACCACCATTGCGCGTGGTCGGAGCGACTCGACCGAGGAGATGATCGGCAAGGGTGGGCTGGAGTTGACGCCGATGGGGGTGGTGTTGCAGCACACGACCATCGAGGTCACGCATGAGGCGGCCTATGACTCGGCCTCGAGCAATCTGAGTGCCCCCAGGGACCGGAATAGCATGTACCAGTAGTGCGACATGCCAGTCAGCCGGTTGAAACATTGGCCTGGCAGTACGGACTCACATTCACTGGCCAACGATAGGTGATTGGCCACATAATTTCTAATTGCACTGGAGCAGTCGAGAAACTGTTCCTGATTCCTTCGCAACCGCCAACTACCCATACGACGATTGGGAGTATAGTGGCAGCAAGGCACAGCTTGTGCCATGCGACGGACATGATTCTCGATAGACGCCCGCTCGAAGACCGCTAAACCGGCAGAGGCAACGGGTGTCATCAGTGACTGCGTTGCAGCCTATGCTTAGCAGTGGGCTTAGACAGGCTACCCCGAGTGCTGTCTCGGAACATCCACCGCAATAATGGCTGTGCTCCGTTAATAATGGCGGTTCAAACCCTCCAGCATGACCGGCCACATGCTACAGGCCAAAAGCAGGGTGGGAGGCGCCATGCCTGACTACAAAATATCCAATAGCCACCTTCGGGCTGTTAATGTGATGGGACAGTGGTTCAATCTGCCCCATCCACTCTTCATTCACTGTACATATTTCCTATCTACAATAATGAGCATCATATGAAATAAACTTAGTCTGCCGAACCTTAACTGAAACCCTGATTGAGTTGTCTCACCCCACGGCCATTAAGGTTATCTACCATCTCCCCTTTCTTAACCCCCCCCCAGTTCCTAATCCTCCCCACAGCTCTGCAGTCCCCACACTGAACAAGGTAAAATCATGTACCTCATGACACCTACACCGATTCTACCCCAGAACCAACACTTCACACCTTTATCTGGAAAGCCCCGTTGGGCTTCTTCACCACCGCCATCCTCCTATAAGCTACCCAAATCCCCTGGATCCTCGATATTACACAAACTTCCATCTCAACCACTTCCCCCAAATCCCCTGGATCCTCGATATTACACAAACTTCCATCTCAACCACTTCCCCCAAACCCCAACCCCCAACCCAAACTCAAACTCAGGCTCCACGCCCACATCCCCCTCTCCAGCCCACACCGCGACACCATCCTCCCCCCTTCCCTACCCTCCCCAGATATATGTATATGCGATACACCAATGAGAATTAGTTATCAAATACCCAACAAAGAAAACATCCAAAAGACAATAATCCGCACCAAAACAAAATTATCAAAAACGACCAACAAACCCAGATGAATCACGACCCAGACAGGGGATTGTGAGGGAGTGGTGGAGAGATAAGCGAGGAAGTACATAGTTGGTTCATGGAAAGAAATTATGGTGGGGTTTAACATCAACAGGCAAGATGGCCGAGCGGTCTAAGGCGCTAGGGTCAGGTTATCTGATCATCTCATATTCTTCGGAATATTCCTAGTCTCGAAAGGGGCGTGGGTTCGAATCCCACTCTTGTCAGATCTTTTTCTTTTTTCTATTCCTTTTTGGTTTGTCTTTTATTTTTTTTTTCTGTCTTCATCTTCTTTTTTTCCTCTCTTTCTTTTTTTATTTTTGACTCACCAGAGGGACGGATGGGTATAAGTGATAACAGAGAAACCAAATAACAAGAATATTTCCTTGGTCCTATGAGAGATTCGTGGATGGTGGGCATGTTGAGTGCATTTTACCATCGCCATTTGCTTGTCTGTCTGCCTGTCTGAACTTATTCTCATGACCTGAACATGAACAACGAAAAGGATCTGCCCATGAACGACCGGGCCGGAAATTAACCATCCTCCCCTAGCTGTATTGTCTGACGTGGACCTTCTACCTATAGGCAAGAAAGAAAGAGTCCAGAGGAAAGTGAAAAGGCTGTTTGTTAACCTCAAGTCTAGCCTCCCAGAGGAGATGCGTAGACACCGGGGTATCTCAGTCCAATGGTATCATTTGAAACCCGACCTCGTCCCGAAAGCTAAATACAATTTAGACGACGATGACTAGAGATCCAGAATACCCAGCAAACAGAAATATACTATCGTGGCAATAGCGAAGTGACCAACCACCCAAATTCTCTAAAACGCAACACATACCTGACGAAGTACACCGAAGGAGCAATCCCCATATACATAGACATCATTTCTAACATTAGATAAGATCAAGGCCATGTTCCGTCCAATGTAAAGTTCGTCGATGGAATGTACCGGTCACCAAGAAGCCATCCCTGTCGTGATTAGCGGTAACAGCAATAAATTGTGGAGTAGGTCACGGAATACCGGTTCGGGGCTACGCTCGGTAGTTGATGCATATCTGGGATTCGGTTATCAGAGATTCTCGGTCGTGGGTATTGGGTTGTGGATGGAAATAGCCTTGGTCGGGATCGTTTAGGTAGGAAGGATGGTTTTGGGTTACAAGAGGGGGGGGGGGGGTATGGTTAGATGTGTGTTCAGGTTGTTCAGTCAAGAGTGAAGAGGGTGTTATGGATGGAATGAAAGGATTAATTGGTTGCCCTGTGAGTGCAGCTGCGAAGGTAGGTAATAGTCCCGGGTTGAGTTGAGATGATTTATCTCCGGTGTTAATATCGTAGATTAAAACTCTGGGCATGCCAGAAAGCCGATTTGGTCAAATATTCTCGATATACGTCATTTTCTCAGAATACTTTTGGAAATAGGAATAGAACATCAAGCGTTCATCTATAAAAACATCGATAGGTAACATGCTGGCTGTTCATGGCTCATTAAATCTCCCCTAGTTCTCCTGCTCTTTAAGCAAACGAGCCGACACCAGAGGACTGCCGTTGAGGATGGCTGCAAAATCATGCGCATCCAGACAGGCCTGTCGCGAGTTAATGACACTTGGCTCTGCACGTATGAAGACGTCGTTTTCGTAGGCGTTTAGGGATTCGCGCAACGCTTCTGGTGGTATCGATCTGTTTGGTTTGTTAGTATCAATTATTGGTGTGTAGGGTGAGGTATGGTCATACCCTAGAGACTGCATATCCACTCGCTTGGTAAGATCGAGCACGTCCACGATGGCATTGTTGGCTCCTTCTCCGCGGTCTATGCGCCAGTTAGCATGGAGTTTCGTATAGCAGGGAAGAGACATACACATGGTCATGGTATGCGCCGAGTCACCCATGAGCACCACCCGAGGATGCGATGTATTCTGCTGCGGTCGGAACATGAAATCCGCAATGCGGATCGACCGCGCCTCGGTGTCTTCGGGCAAGCGATGGACCAGAGTCTTAAACGGCTCGGCCCAGTTCTCGGTCAAGGATTTCATCAGGGCGATGCGCTCCCCATTGTCGTCCGGGACGGGGATGTTCTTGGAGTCCGCCCAGGAGACGATGACCTGGCAGTGGTATTTGTCCTTGCTGCTGTCTTCGAAGTTGTTCGGGGTATCGAGGACTAGCGAGATATGAGTTAGCTAGGTCATTGAGGGGTGGTGGCGGACATACTGCTGAAGAACAAAAAGACGTTCGTGTCTGGATGCGACCCCTGGAAAATAAAAGGGTCGATTTCCGCAGCGCCTGCCATCTCTTCGGCCGTGTACAGAGTTGCCCCGCCAAGTATCTGGATGGGAAGTGGGTTCATCTCGTGGCCGTCCGGGTACAAGATGTCGCGGGTGGGCGATCGCGATCCATCGCAGCCGATCAACAGGCAACCGGTATAGGAGGTGCCATCTTCAAAGCGCGCGGTGACGGTGTCGTCGGAGGACTCGATGTTTTGGAGGGTTTTGTTCCACTATATGGTTGAGCTGTCAGAAAGGGCCAGAAGGGGCCATCCAGTGGGTGGGATACTGACTTTGATATCGAGATCCGTCGCAAGCAGCTGTCGAAGACGCACTCTGGAAACGCGGATTCTCTCCGCAGCCGGAACGCTGGACAACGCAGAGCCGGTTTTCAGGTCGAAGAACGAAAAGCGACCGGTGTCACCGCGGGCAGCAGCGGCCTTGTTGACATAAGTCTCGGGGAGTTGTTGCACGAGGTGGTCGGGGAGGAGATCCCTCAGAGCCGGCAGCGCCCAATGCAGGGTCAGCCCCCAGCCGCCACTGCGGGCATCGATTGCTGCATCGCGCTCGAAGATCTGGTAGGGAACCCCGAGTTTGTGGAGGTGCTGGGCCAGCAGGAGGCCACTGATGCCCGCACCGACGATGAGCACGGGAAGATCAGCCATGGTGGGCAGTGAGGAGACGCACATGTTCCACGGGGACCGCTGTTCATGCCCGACTTTTGACTGCAGCACCGCCCGGATGATCGAGCCGATTGGTGGCCGGTTGGCTTCGGACGGTGACCTCGGTGGCAGGTGCGCAGGATCCGGATTGGTGGACCCGTGTCATATGAGCAGGTGCCATTGGACTGGGCATCGTTCGGAGTGGGCGAATGCCGAATCAACTAGCTGGTTGGCTAAGATTGGACTTGTTTCTGAATAATTCGTGCTACGGCCTTTTGGGTTACTCAGGGGATCCTAGGTTGGTCCTTCGCCGGAGTGAATTGTCAAGATGGCGTGTCCACTGCAGTCAGGCTGACACCCGATTTAATCACCAATTTAGCCTTATCTGATTTGGATTTGGAATCGTTCTGCAGGGCACAAACCAGGGGTTGAGATGGTGAGATTTGAGAAACCAACCTTAAACAGAAGCATAATACGGCATAATCACCTTAAGCTGCGTCGGACATCTCCTGCCCCCCACGGCACGGTGAGACAAGGAAAGCACTAGGGCTGCTAGGCCGACATGGCGCGGGGACGGCGTCGTCCTGCAGCCTTGGCTCCGAGTCTAGCCCTACCTCGATCCGCCCGCGGTGGATGCCGCTCCATCTTGCATATTGCTGTCATTTGCGTCCTGGCCAGTGGCAGTGGCCACAGTGGGCTGATTGGAGTCTGGTTATGCAACACGATTGTTCTCGCGAACAGACCAGCCATGGGTGCGTGGGACGCCAATTCGGCCGATGTCCGGGGATGTCCTTCCGAGTGGACCACTTTAAAGTTTCACGGAACGCACAGGATTCCTTCTGGATGGAGCTGAGCTTGATGGTCGGGACGATCCCGTTGGGGGCCGTTGGTGATTGGCGTTGGCTGCTGTCTAGCCTGTCTAGCCTGTCTAGCCCATCCTGCCCATCCTGCCCATCCTGAGGGACGTAAGCGCTAAGGAAGCACCTGCGCAGGATTATCTGCACTACACTAACCAAGCATCGCCGGAAATGATTACCCATTAGGAAAGAAACACGGCCCGGTGAGCGATTAATATACACAAAGGAGAGAAAAGAAAAACGTGAGTGTTTCGAAAGGAATGGCGCCATCACTCTTGGCCCTCCTCGGCCGGCCGCTTCTCTGTCGACACCCGCAGTTCGACCGTCATATGAATTCCCCCCTCGTCCCCACTGTCGAGGATAAGCTCTTCGCTGGGCGTCCGTTTGGGTTGCGGCGCCGCCGACGTGGTGGATTTGAGCTGCGAGCGTGGATCCCTCGACCACGACTGCAGCGCATAACTCCGCCCATCGTATCCTCCTTTCCGGCCACTGTACGATCGGAAGTCGCGCACGGCTCCTTTGAGCAGCGGCGCCAGGAAGGGCACGCAGGTCACAATGTTCTGCCCCATGTCAGCGTGGTCCGGTCGCGGGCTCAGGACGATTACTCCGTACTTACCCCGACATTGAATTCGATCGTGCCCCATAGGACCAGCATGGAAGAATTCCCATCTCCATAGGCCACCCGATGGATCTGCGTCAGGCGCAGGATCGAGCAGATGGTGGTGAACAGGCCCAGCAGGAACAGGCACACCACCCCCGCTTTCTGGGCGGGTTTGATGTTCAGCTGGAGTAACAGCGGGATGGGCAGGCAGATGATCACGATATCACAGATAATCGTGAAGATGGCCAGCCCATAAAACGTCGGTCCGGCCGGGAGACAGGACCCAGGGATGGTGGAATTCCAGGCGCGATCCACCGGCTGGCAGTCGAAGATGAGAACAAACGTTCCGGCCAAGTGGCCCAGAGTACTGATGACAATCACCACCCAGATGAGGATTCGGTAGTAATTTTTGGACGTGCCGGAAATCAATCGCAGGTAATTGAGGCACAAGGAGGCTTTGAACCCGGCGATTCCAAACTGGTAAAAAGGGCGACCGGCATAGTTGAGCTAAATCGGTCAATTCCCTTCGTTCAACCACAATGGTTTGGGGCAGGTCATACCATGGTGTAATTGGGGAGGTCCAACTTTGGGCGTAGCTTCAAGGGCAGTCCCAGACCGTATCTGGTTTGAGCGACACACAGGGCGCTATAGATGATGCTGAAGCACATGGTCACCAGCATCACATAGTCGGACGCTTCCAAGCGGCGCGCTTGAAAGCGAATGGCTAAGCGCAGGCAGACAGTAATGACCATCAACAGCGTCAGGCTCAGACACACTCCGAGAATGAGGCGCCATTCCGACACGGCCTCCACTTCCGGCGAGGCATGGTGCACCCAGCCCATGATCGCAGTA